ACGCCGGCAGAGGGCTGAATTGACGAGGTTCCTTCAAACGGTATACTATCATACCTAGCTCTACTAGACCCTACTAACTAGCATCATGATCAGGGTAGTCATAGCCAGACATTCTCGCAAGAAGGTTTTGAGAGTAAAATCTTGGAGTTTATTACTACTAACCGGCTTCCATTCCAAATCGTTGAAAATCCAGCATTTCGTGAGCTCATCGCAGAGGTAAGTCCGTCAGACGCCAGTCCGTAGGCGTCAAATCGCCCAAATCCTCCAAATCCGCCGTCTTTACCAATCAGCCTCTATTTGCCTCGTCACCTAACTAAATCTTAAGTCTTGAATCTAGGCACAATCCGCCCTAAGCCCTCCGATCGTGCCCTCCGCTGATGCAATTCGACGTCGCCTGTCTGGCCGTGTTAAAGAACGACAGCATGATACACTCAGAATGCTTCCAGAACATGCAAAGATCTCGATTGCGTTAGACTGTTGGACATCTCCATTTCAGCAGGCATTTATGGCTATTACTGGCTATTTCATCGATGCCGAATGGGTCTACCGTGAGGTGCTACTCGGCTTTAAACCCCTTCACAGTTCGCATACAGGTGCAAACCTAAGTGCTATTCTGATGGAGACGCTTACCGAACATGGCATTAAGGACCGAGTCTTTGGAATAACCACCGATAACGCATCGAATAATGAGACTCTGGTTAAGGCACTACAACAGTCTTTACAACAAGAGCCTTCGGCTTCGGCTACTGGTTTTAACGTCATCCGGGTCCCCTGTCTCGCTCATGTCATCCAATTAAGTCTGAACCAACTACTTCACCGACTTAAAGCACGCCCAAAGAATGAACAAGCCGAGACTGTCTGGACAGAGGAACAACAGATTAGCCTTGCTAAGGCGAATGCGGAGGCCAGGTCTAAGAAACGGGACATTGCGCATACCTTAAAGAGGATACGATCTCTTGCTGTTTATATCCGTGGGAGCCCTCGGCGTCGAGATCACTTCCTCAAAGTCCAACACGACCTCGACAAAGGCCAAGGCAAAGTTCCAGGGCAAGGACTTATGCCGATCCAGGACGTCAAAACTCGATGGAATTCAACGTTTCTGATGCTACGCCGGGCGAAGAGACTCCGTACTGCTATCAATGAATACTGTCGTCAGTTCAACTGTACAGAATTCGAACTTGATGATGAACAATGGCGCCAAATTGACTATCTGATCTATCTCACAAAGCCATTCTTTGACTTTACGCTCGCCCTTTCGAAGACACGAGAGGCGACGTCGTTTCTTGTCTTCAGGATCTATAACCAGCTCTTTGAACACCTTGAGAAGTGCAAGTCGCAGCTACAACGAAAACGTGTTCCATGGAAACAGCAGATGCTTACCTCCCTCGGAGCAAGCCATTCAAAACTGTCGGAGTACTATAAGAAGACGGATCATATGCGCGGGCATATCTATGCGGTTTGTACGATGCTATCGCCGGAGAGTAGATTCCAGTTCTTTTTATCTGATAACTGGGAGGATGCCAAAGAGATCCGTGAGCAGTATCGAGTGGCTTTCCGTGAGGCACTTACTCCTATCCAGGAGCGTCTTACTACTTTAAATAGCCCGCAAGTGTCTTCCTCTGGATCGATGCCAAGATCCTTCCTTCTTGGCCTGATGGCTCCCCCGAAGTCTCTCTCCAAACGCAAAGGCAAAGCTGGTAAAGCAACGCTAGGCCCGACTAAAGATGATGAGATGACGCAGTATCTCGACGGCAGTAAGTTAATCTCTATGTTTATTCTTTCTTGAGAGATGGTTTTTCGGCCGAAAACCCATCCCTATCTTCATGATACTAATTTCTTACAGGTTTAACTATATCTGATGAGCCGCTCTCCTTTTGGAGAGAGAATCAATATCGCTTCCCTGCTATTGCCGCACTTGCAAGAGATTACCTTGCAATTCCAGCCACAGGTGCTGGAGTTGAACGTCTGTTTAACACTGCACGCGATATCTGCCACTATCGCCGGGGCTCTTTGAAGGCGCAAACTATCGAAGAGCTGATGTTGTGCCTCTGTACGTCAAGGTTTGATCTTGAAGTGCAAGAGGCGAAGGAATTTGAGCAGTTCTTTGGCTCTGATGAGATTCAGATCCTGGTGGAGGAGGCTCAGGCGGCTCAAAAGCCAGGTGATGATGCCGAGGAGCCAGCTGAGGTGCTAGCTGTCGTCGACGTTGATGCGATCAGTGATGCTGAAGAGCAGGGTGATAGATCCGGTGATCTGATAGATGTTGACGATGACGATGACGATGCTACTATCGCTGCGGCACCGTCTCATGCGGCACCGTCTCATGCGGCACCGTCTCAAGTGCGGACATCAGGGAGGAAGAGGAGGCATGTTGAGGATGATTTGTATGAGCATTATTAGCATGTAGATAGTTTTACCTCTTGGGATCTAATCAATCGATCTCATCAGTTGATCTCATCAGTTAATCTCATCAATCTCATAAATCAGTGAATTGCGTCGATTTCCATGAGATCTCAGTCAATTAGGGGCCTCAGGTGGTAATTGTAATACTCAAAATTACTAGGAAGGTCTACATAACTTATGCAAATGCCAAGAATTGGCATGTTTGCAATGTTTGGGGCCCATTTGGGGGCCCATTTGGGGGCCCATTAAACCATATTGGGCTTCTACCTTGGGCCCATAGCCTACCAGTGGGCCTAATGCCAGGCCCAAAACCCGCCCCATTTATGGGCTGGGGTGGGTTGGGCTATGGGCTTTGTGGGCCGGTGCGGAGGTCTAGTTCCACCACTACAATACGTAATATCTGTTTCAGAGGTAGTCATCGCTATTTGTATATTGTCCCGGTCTCATCGGGTGCTCAAACACTGCCTTCGTGCCTTGTTTGGGGGCCCTTCAGTCGCTTCGGATACTCATCTGTCTCAATGATGGTTTCTCCATGTCGCTTAGGTCTCTCAGTAGGTTTTGGTGAAAAATATACAGTCTCCTGGGTTTGGCTCCGGCTGTATTGACATGTCCAAGTCTCTTGCTTTCTGGTGGTCGTTGTTGCCTTTAAATCGTAGCTCGGCATCGGAGCAAAAATACCATGGTGTATGACGCGGTGTTTCTCGGGGCAAAACAACATCTCCAATGAGGCACAGGAGTCCTTCAGTTGAGAAAGTGATACACCTTCCCTGAATAGGGGGAGATGCATATTTCGGAATCAAGTTCTTTGATTAGAGTCTGATCGGGATCGGCCAGTACGAATTCCAGGGGAGTACCGTCCCCTGGTGTTGCGATCACGCCAACGCTGAAGCATACCATCACGAGTTTTGCTTTCTCCGAGAGCGGCATGTGGAGCTTGCTCTTGGACAAAGTACAGATAGCGCCAATTGCATTGAGGCTTTGTGCTGATATCTGTTCGATACAGCGCAGCAAGTTGGAGAGATACTCCCGCAGGTCTCTTCTCGACATTGTGTAGTGCATCAGATTTTGTTGCAGAAAGTGCTTGCGAGCCACTTCCCAGGCTCGGCGTGTCTCCCAACTTGTGTCTGTCCACGCCTTTTCTTTCATATGGGGTATGTTTCTTGGCCAATTTGCGGGGTCCATTCATCTTCTCTTCGGCGAAGAATGTCTTGCAGTTGCCGTGTATCTCCAACACATGCTGGTAATGACAACTCAAGATGGATGTAAGACAAGAGAAGAAGAAACTGGGGAAGAGAGAGACGTGGCTTGATAAGACTGGTGGTGTCTTCTATCATGCGAAATCGTTCCATTGTTGTAGCACCTGCCGGAGAACATGTGTTGGTCGCCTATCTTGCTTGATTTCGGTTTTGGAAGAGCAGAAAATGGAGGAACAAGTGCTCTTTTAAGCTGAACGGATTATGATCGGTGATTACGAACGTTATATTCGTAAAAGCACTAATAAGCCCCTTGGTGAGCAAGCACGGACAGGGCCGATAAGTTGCGGACTTCTGGAATTGAGTTCAATAGCCTTAGGCAAGACTGTACCTTCATTCCGTCAGGATGAATTGCAACAATCGCAAGGCGGTTCCCGTCTTTCTCAACAGTAGAGCAGCCATGGCCGGGTAATGAAACACTAGAACAGACGTACCTAGGACAATGCAGCCTTTAACGTGGGCCGGTGTGGCGGGAATACGTGCCTTTCTCTTCAGTGGAGATTGCGTTCCATTCTTCATACCGTTGACTGATCTCTCAGAATATTAGCATAAACCAAGTGAGTCTAGAATCCTAGGCTTAGTACGTTCATGATCCCGAAACATTGGAAGTATCCCCAGAAATGCATGAATTAACGTAAATAAGCGCCAAAAGGCAATTGGCACTTTATCAACATCCTCAGTGGTCAATCAGGTTTCCATGGTTTGAAGACTATTTTTGACTAAGGTTGTGTTCAGTGTTACGAACCTTGTATGCTCTCAGTTGTTGAACCGACTTCATGTGCTTGATACATTTCTCATTTCCGTGCATTTAAATGCAATTTGTTAGGAAGAAAGTATCTGACGACTCCTGTGATAAAGGAGGGCAGGATGTGATTCATAGGTGGCGCTCCCCTTAGTTCCAGCCCGGTGTGACATATCCGGACTTGCTTGCGTATCTGCCGGAACCTAGCTCTCCCACGAGCCTGGACACAGTCAAATAAAGCGCCTTCATTCACTTATGTTTGAAGGAAAGGAAGTTTAGAGCAAAGCAGGAACGCAGGTCGCCTCGGAACAAATTTTTTTACCTTTCAATTGCTGTCAGCAAGTGGACTCTCGAGCGCTGGGGCATGCATTTGTTTGGTAATAATGATACGAAAAGCTCAGGATGCTTACGATCCATGACGCTTGGTTATTCTGCCATACCAATCAAACGCTATAATACAATATCGGATATGAAATGCGCAGCTATAATACGGGGCCGGTCCCTACCACCAATTCTCCAACAAAGTTCCCATAGTAGCTTGAACAGTGTAAAGAAACATGTGTTGAAACTAGCATTGAAAAATTAAACGGGAAAGTCCAAGCCTACGGTTCTAAGTCCCCCAGGGCCTCTGTCAGCCCATAAAGCCCAGCTGCGGTACTCTTGACTTTTAGGCCCACAATGCTCACCCCACCACCCACATCACGAAGGGTGTGAAGCTTTCGAATGGCAATATCCTCCCTTCTCGCGATCATTTCGCAGGAAGCAGGACTAGTATTTTCGGGATATATATCCTCGAGCGTTATATAAAGAGCCTCGCTCTCGTCGCACATCGAATCGACAATTGTAATAGCAATGTCTTGCCTTAGTCGATCATTCGGTTTCCACTTCGAAAGCGGGGACCGTAGAATAGTCGCCAGCATATCAGCACTCTTCTCCTCTTTACGCTTCGCCGCAACCAAGCTGGACCGAAGCCAATCATCGTAATCATCAGTATGACCTAATATCCACTGGACGGCATGCACACAATCGTGTTCCGCAGCGTAAGTCAAGTACCATTTGGGGGGAGCAGAGCCGCGTCCCAGGAACCAATCGAACATTTGGCTTGCGTCACTTTGGCACAAAAGCTCTAGCCAACCAGGAGACGGATTCTCCTGGTGCGGTTTTGCTATGTCCACTTCACATTGTAGGAGGTCTTCTGCGAGTTCAACATCCACAAAACGACATATATGTCCAAGTTCTTGAGGCCCAAGTGAATATTGAGGGGGATGAGGTTGAGATTTCACCCTTTTCCAGCAGGCTCGGAACAACGGTTCGTTGTATATAGAAGCCTGTAGGATCGTTTTTCTGTCGTCCTCTGGCTCTGACAGCATATATGGCTGAAATATGTGCTCATTGCCCATCGCAGAAAGCAGAAGGTCTATTGATTCCAGCTCATGATCGCTCTTGACCGCGAGACAAAAGAAGCTCTCTCCCGTGCGAGAATAGGCAGAGGGACTTATTGCTCCACGGCTGAGCAGATACGGGAAGCATTCGGTCGGGCAATTGATAATCGACCACGAAGCGAGATCGTAGGGCGCGCTCTTATCGATGATATCCTGTTGGCTTTTCGCATGATCAAAGTCGTAGCTAAGCCCCCAGTTCGTTTCAATGCTTTTCCGCAGGGCCGGGTCTCTGAATGCACCATCAATGGCTTCTGCGACAAGAGAATGCAGATTGTCTTTGCACATGTCTTGGAAGGTATGAAGTGCATCGTGTGAACCGAGAGGCTTTTGAAAAAGGGAAGCTTCAACAATCGACTCTTTGAAATCAGACGGAAGTTCTCGCTGTCTGTTGAGGGAGGAAAGCTTTTGTAATAAATCTCCTCCGTGCACAAGTTCATTTGCCATCTTGATGTATAAGTCCTTGGCTCGTCTTGTATGGACAATTAAATCGTGGGATGCGGAAGCTTTTATAGTTTCCCCAAGTCCTCGTCTTCTTTCGTAAGAAAGAGATTTAGGGCGGGCATTACTCAAAGCTTCAAACTGCTTCGACAATGCCTGTTTCTTATGTGCGAATAGGCTAGTTTCTATACCGGCTATCAGAACATTCACAAACCGACAGAGGTAGCTAAACAATGGAAAATGTAATTATATTACGTGAAATGGGACCTTCTAGAGAATGGGCTTCTTGTAAGAAAAATACAAAAGCTGATCCTCCACGTAAACGGGCAACGACTCCACTAGACTGAAATACATTGAGTTCAGACCCGTTGACGCATTGGACCTCTTTTAACATAAGTCAAGCTTATAATGTGACTATGGACACGGAATTTACGTACAAAGCAAGTAAATGGAGGAGCCAATCATATCTCCTCGGAGCTTCTATGTATAAGCCACTGGGTCCACGCGCTAGTGTTGGTAGGTGAATGTGGTTGACCAAAGAATTCGTTTATACCAGACTGAATTCCTGGCAACTGGTCTGTTTGGCTTGTTTACAAGTGAGATACAGCCATGATACGATCGCGATTTGTATGCGATTATTACTACCGTAATAAGAATCATGGATGAAGGATCAAGCAACCAACACTCCCTAGACAGCACTAGTAGACAGCGGAGCGTATACCCTGAGACTTCTTCATAATAAAAGGGCTGGAAACGAAAAGAGTGAATTGTATGATGCTAGCCCAGTCCTCTGCTGGAATCCCAACATGGAGGAATGCTATCTGACTGGCCACGTGACTAATAGTCCGTCCATCTTTCTACTATGTCACCGGTTCCACCACTACAATAGGTGGATACAAAAAACGATATATCAATTCCAGCATATACAACAGGGTCAAACGGATACCCCAAGAACATCGCGCGTCTTTTCGCACAAACAAATCAGTAAGTTCTCTATTATCTCCCTCCTCAGTCAATACACTATCTTCTGGTTTACTAAATCCATGATGTCTCAGCTCTCCGACGTCTACCCATCGTCTAGCTTCGATACTCAGGACGGGTTACCATTAGACGCGCTACAATACCTTATTCCTGACGATTCTCTATCCCACCGCCAAAGCCAGAGTCAGTTACCTTCTGAAAGCCAGTTTGATTCAGCACTAGACCTTCCGGATAATCGAGTTCAAATTCGTACGGCATCTCAGGCCCCAGATACCCTTCCGCGAATCAGGCCCGACTGTATCAACGAGTTCATTATCTGCATACCAGCGATGTCTGCAGAATTCGTTAAGTGGTGGCTTCACACTGACTACGGTAAGTCAAAGCGAATTAACTGGGACATAAGCCCTAGTAGCCGTCGTGCAAAATGCTGGGAAGGGTTTCAACAAGTTGCAAATGCCAAAGATGGAAAGCCAGGCGTTATATGCAATCACTGCCGTACAGTTCTCGCGCATCCAGCTACGAACCATACTGGAACGTCCACGATGCAGAAACATCTCGATGGACCAAGGTGCCGACAGCGACTACCGAAGAAGGGTACTAGTAGTATCTATCAACTACTCAGTGACGCGGTATGTTCGAACTAGCCTAGATTCAACGTCAATACTAATACCTAATTCACTCTCCCTTAGGCCGAGAGAAGACCAGCGCCTACCTTCACCCAACGAACATGGGAGCAGAAGATTCTTAATCTTATCACTACATCGCAATTACCCTTCCGATTCCTCGAGCATCAAGAATTCCATGATATCCTTTCCTACGCACGGCTAGCACCCACACCACCAAGCGTTCCATCGAGAAAGGTGATTCGCGAGCGCCTCCGGAGTTTCGTTATAGAGTATCAACAAGAGACACTACAACGGCTCCCATCTAGTGCAAAACTATCACTTGCGCTTGACTGTTGGACTTCACCATTCCAGGACGCATTCATGGCTATAACAGGATACTTTATAGACCAGGAATGGGAGTATCGCGAGGTCCTCCTTGGGTTTGAGCCCCTTTCTGGAACTCATTCTGGCGTAAACCTCGGTGAGGTTGTTCTCCAGATTCTACAAAAGCACCAAATCACTGATCGTGTACTGGCGGTGACAACTGATAATGCGTCTAATAACAAGACGCTTATCGCAGCAGTGAATGATTCAATCCGCGAACTACAGCTGAAGACAGATTCTACGATTATTCAAGTGCCCTGCCTTGCGCATATTATTCAATTGAGTCTGATTGATTTACTTGGTAAAATCAAGGCTTCACCGAAGAACGACACCGCCGAATCAGTATGGTCTGATGAGCGTGTACGTTTACTTCGTGCGCGCCAGCAGAAACATAAGATCGCCGATACTCTAAACAAGGTAGGTTTCTATTTAATAATCTTATACAATCCACTAACCATCCTTATAGGTTCGAGGTCTTGCGGTTTATATCAACGGAAGCCCTCAACGTAAGGAAGCCTTCTTGAATCTCCAGTCCAATGGGCAAAAGCTTGTCCCAATCCAGGACGTCCGTACGCGATGGAATTCGACGTTTCTTATGCTCCGACGAACGAAAAGGCTTCACATTACATTCGACGAGTAGTGTTCGCACCATGATCAACCCCACTTTGCATTAAGTGCAGAGGGGTGGCGACAGATTGACTATCTGCTTTATATCCTCCAGCCCTTCTTCACGTTCACTACATTAGTTTGTCAAACTAAAGACTCGAGTATTCACCTCGTCTTTAGTATTTACAATAGGCTCTTTGATCATCTTGAAAGATCTATACGTCAGCTTCGTCGAAAGAAGGTGGCTTAGAAACAGCTGATGCTTTCCTCCCTTAAGGCCGCGAAAGATAAACTATCGAAATACTACGGTATGACAGATAATGTCGAAGGTGATCTATATACAATTGGAACAATCTTGGATCCGTCGAATAAGATGGAGTTCTTTTCAACAAGTGATTGGGCCCCGGATAACTCAGGAAAGGACTACAAAAAGGAATACCGTGAGAGCCTTCAGTCTCTGTTCGAGAGATATAGCCTACGTATACCATCTAATATGACACAGTCTGATAGCAGGCTATCAACAAACAAATCAGCGCTCGAGAGGGCTTGTAGGCGCGATCTCTCGAAGCCATCAACCGGTCCGCAATACGATGAACTTACTAGATATCTTTAGAGTGGTGAGTGAGTAAGCCTACTAAATGAATTATGGAACTAACCTTCTTAGACACTATCGATGAATCCGCTCGGATCTTCTAGAGAAATCATGAGAAGGAGTTCCCTATTCTTGCAAGCATTACCCGTGATGTGATGTCTATTCTAGCGACTAGTGCCGGAGTTGAGCGTCTTTTCAACTCTGCCCGGGACGTTTGCCACTACCGCCGGGGGTCGTTGAACCCAGAAACTGTTCGCGATATCATGTTGTATTTGTGTACAACAAGGTTCGATATCAAGGAGGAACAGAGGCTGATTCTCTAGGAGTATCTTTTAGAGCAAGAGATCGCAGCCACGTCTAAAGAACTCAATATCGAGATACATTGCTCCGAGGCCATCAGTGATACCGAGGAAGACGTCGAGATGTACCTTGATATACCGGCCGCACTACCACTCTCAGAGGTCGCTGCTAGGAAGCGGCCGGCGGTCACTTTTGACGACGAGGAAGACGCCAATGCCGATAAATTTGCGGATCTAGAAGAGAACTCGCTATCACCCTTGCCTGATACGCAGCATCGTGTAGACCTGGCTACGACCCTCCGCATGGGTCCCTACCCCGGACCCTCGAACCTCCCCTCTTGAGGGGAGGTTCCAACCTTCCGACCCTCAACCTACCCTGAGGGTCGTTGAGGTTCACTATGCTGACCCTCGGCGACCCTCAACGACCCGCATTTGCATAAATTTTCGACGCCTTACCTCTTTCGGTTGGATAAAATTGATGATTCATCTCTGTTTTTTACAGCTGTTCCGTCAATTTGTAGATATTTCACTAAATACTCCAACAATATGGTCAATTATAAATAAATATTCATGTAAAAGTAAACCGTAGGCATGGTCACCTACAAACTGCAAGTAATACTCGATGATATCGAAATAGTAGGTGGTCAGTGGCGGTTGTCGACAAAAATGCATGTCAAGTTGTAGATATATATATTGCAGACAGTGTAACCTATGTGTATCTTCATTTGTAGAACCACTGTTTTTTTAAAAACCATTAAAAAGTAGTTTTAATCCCCTCATTTTTACATCATTTAAACTGTTATATCTTCTTCTATCACTTTTTCTTCAAGAATTCAGCACAAATGATCTAGGTACACGTATGTCATAAATCCGGTTCAAAGATTGCAATTATTAGACTTGGTCGTTCTGATCAAGACTATTTTCTCAACTTGAGGGTCTCTTTGAGGGTCGATGCGGGTAGTGAGGGTCCCCTTGAGGGTCGCTGCGGGTAAGCGAGGGTCTATTTGAGGTTCGTTGAGGTTCATTTATTAGGTTATCCACTACGTTAGCCAATCAGATCTAGCTATGTGGATAGAAAAGATGATAGATCAATTCAAGCATATAGAACAGGGACTAACGGATGCCCCAAGAATATCGCGCATCTTTTTCTACAAATTGAACAGTAAGTTCCTCATTATCTTCCTCCTCAGTCATAGTACTGTCTTCTGGTTACTAAATCTATCATGTCTCAGCTCTCCGACGTCTACGCATCATCTAGCTTCGACGGGGTGCAATTAGACGCGCTACAATACCTTGTTCCTAACGATTCCCTATCCCAACGCGAAAGCCAGAGTCAACTACCCGAAAGTCATTTTGGATCAGTTCCAGACCTTCCAGACCTTCCAACCTATCGATCGCGCGTGGCACCTCAGGCCCCAGACACTCTTACGCGAATCAAACCAGACCGTATCAACGAGTACGTCGTCTTCACAACTACAATGACCGCAGAATTTATTCAGTGGTGGCTTGAAACCGACTTTGGTAAGAAGAAGCGGATCA